ATAAACTCGTGACGAAAGTCACGAGCGACGGGAAGTTCACGCAGGTGATAAACGGCCGAGCGAGCGCGCTTATCTGACATTAATACCGGCCGAAGTTCATGAAAGTCAAAGTTACCTCATCATTATCACTGACGCAACGGACGCGGTACAAAGTGTAGAAGAAACGGCCGATGACGTGGCACTTCCGAGATCCGAAATGACACTCAAGTGATATCAGTACTCCTTTTAGCCGTTTGCGAAACACGTGAAACGCCGAAAGCGGTTGAGGAGAGCCCTTGGCCGATGATCAATCTAGCTTATCAGAGACTTTCTCGTTGTGACGCGCAATACTCATCAAGTCATTAAGCACCGATGTCATTAAGCCGATGATACGTCGGCTCGCGTGTTATTCATTAAGGGACACTTTATTGGAAAATCGGCCAAAGTCAAGTACATTGTTCGCGACTGTTGCGGCAATCGAGCGAGCCTGACCGCCGGTTCCATTAAACAATATAATCAAAAACGTAACTGCTTGATTACCGACGTCAATCCCTGCCAATGATTCACATCCGTCGAATCCAGTAATTTGAAAGTCGCTGATATGCCGATAGCATACGCGAGTCGTGAGTACGAAGGAGCGAGCTTGTTTGGCTTGATGTTTCTTTTGATAGCCAAGTTCCCCGGATTGATTTTCTCGAGAAGTCCAAGAAGTCGAGCTTCGTTGGCACGAGGTCTTGTACGTTAACCTGCATTCTCCAGGTGCACGTTACGTTGTAGATGAGAACCGCTCGAAGGCGAGCCTCCTGTCTAACCGGTTACCTGGCCAATCGCGGATCCTCCCGCTACCAACACCTACCAAGCTCGACCAATGCGCAACGAGTGAACGGAGGCTCGTCGCGGCGACTCGTGCGAGCTTAACAGCTGCTTTCTCCCCGCGCGCTCGCGACTGCGATTGCAACGTCATGATGTCACGATGTAAAACAACAATTGCGCCACTCGCAATGTGGATTTCGCGCATCGCACGACCGTTAAGGCTTGTGCGACGACACACGTAGGCGTAGCGCAAGTGTTGACATTACTGACGTGATACAGCCGAAACGACATCGTCATCGCTGTAGTGACGCGTTTTATCGCGTTTTATCGCGAGATAAGACGCGCAATATGATGAAAATTCTCGCGGAGATTACAATAACGCGCGTGATTGATGAACGCGGGAATAACGATCTTTGCAACTCGATGCTTGTCCTTATTTCACAAAAGTGATAAGAGTTTCCGTTGCAGAAGATGAGTTTCTGTTGCGTCATAACTCTTTATTTGACAATACTGCTGTCCAACAGCATCGATTTCTCATCAGCTACATGCAACAACGATAAATGCAGAACGTTTCATTCAATATTGTTACTTTGGAGCAACATCTGTTGACTCATTTTGTTCGTCAGTGACTTAGTTGTTTCAATTTTTGCCACTAGATGACAAAAATCGTTAGAAATATGTTTTCGAAATAATATTTTTGAAGACAATATAACTGTATTCGAAAGACACAATTTACTTCATTTAAACACTCAAAAATTCTTTTCTCTCAATTTCTTTGCTAAATAAAAGGTTAACGCGTTTAACACGAGTCTCCAGAGACAGACAGAAAAATTGACCTGTGCATTGCGTAGAGTAAAAAGTACCAATTCCCGAACACGTATCTAATCCTAAATATTCTTATTTTGGTCCTTAAATACGAATATTTAAACTTTCAACATAGAACATACGTGTATATATTTAATATATTTTACATGTAGTATTTTTATGTTGAAAGTTTAAATATTTAGAGACCAAAATAAGAATGTCCAGGATTAGGTGCGTGTTGGCCTAGCATTGGTACTTTGGCCTTAGAGAAAAATTGAGAGAAGAAACGCATTAACGCTACGGAATGTTTACTCCTTGTATTGAGAGACATGTGACGCAACCGTATTAATTAATCGTTACTTGATCATGCAGTTCCGGAACATGCTTCCGAGAATGATGACACGCGATTGCGATTCGTCGCGAGAATCGAGTCACGACTAAGTTATTTTACAGGAAGCTATTTTACCTGTGAGAAGAGACGATTTGTCATATCGTGCAAAATGGATATGCCGCGAATTAATTGGCCTTTCACGCTCGCATATTTATTTATACAGTAGGCGGAGGTTCACAATTCAAGAGATGCGTTCGCAGTTGAGATTCGCCACTTCTCGAGCTCAAAGAGCATTGCATCCGCGCATTTTGCTGATGCAGCACACGCTGGTCGTCGCCACTTTGTGTCTTCGCGACTCAAACAAAAGCTAAAAATACAAATCGCGCGTCGACACCAAGCGGACAGTACATCGCACCGTCGCGATACCGTACGGATACCTAAGACGTTTCTAGGACGTTTACTCCGCGCTGAATGAGATACGGCGCGGGCGAGCAAGCTCGTAGTTCCCGATACGATTAAATGCGAGTTCGACGCAGGGGGTCTGAGAGGACGATACATTAAAAGATATGTTGCTACACTGACCTGTCTAATAATACCGTCCGGACTCGGCCCTGTAACTCGGTTCGACATCAATCCTGGCACAGTGTCAATTGTGACACACGAATTGCAATGCTCCGCGTGCGCGAGAAAGAGAAAGAGAGAGAAATATAGAGAAAGAGAGAAGGAGAGGAACCCGTTAATTTTGGCTGCGTAGCTGCTCATTCACTTCTCATTTCGCTGATTATTCGCGATCGCACCCATAGGCATCCTGTTTCACACGTAAATATCTTTTTTTCAATCTCAGCAAAGATATTGTATCTGATACGAATATCAGATCTGATATTCGTATCAGATGAAGCGAGAAAAACGAAGAGCTTAATAAAAAAAAAAAAAACATTTTCAATATGAACGCTTGTGTTTGCGGAGAAATTTAATATTTACAACGGATATCATCAATTAAATATGTGATTTCGTAAGATGAAATCCTCTTCCGTCGCCAGCAGATTTTTCCGAAGGGAGAATCGCAGGACGAAGTGCGAAATTGCGCGACCCCGTTAATTGCACTCTCGCGTGAGGACAGCTACCGTTCACGGTTATCCAGTGAGCGTTATTAACATCGTTCGCATACTTCAAATTGGTTTGCATTTAACTCGAACTGCTCTACTGGATTCGTGCCGTCAAAGAGCAGTGATTTTCCACTCGCGACTTGCTATCGCGTCGCTGCGTTCATTAAAAAAAAAAAAAAAAAAGAAAAGAAAGGAAGAAAAAGAAATCGAGTGTTCCATGAATATCTACATCGCCTCGACTTATCAGCGCGATCTTAATTAAACGCAGCTATGCAAGAATGATTCAACCCACATGAAGTGCGTTTGCGAGAAAAACGAAGATAAGAATTTAATACTTTTAAGGGCTATACACAATGCTGAATCTTCGTAATAGTTCAAGAGATCTAACATGATCAATTTTCTCCTCTTTAAAGGTATTCATTGATAGGTTTAGTCTTTGAAAAATGAGCAAGGACATAACTGATAGAAAATAAAAATTGTTCTTTTAATCAATTTCAGGCGACCATAAGATTTGGATCTCTTGTGTTTTATGCAGAAAGACGCATGGACTACTCATTGGTAACGAAAATTCAAGAATCATAATTTTGGGTCATTCTTACATAACTACGTGCTAGTTTTCCTGTTTACCGCCCGCGTGACGTTCCTCGTTCCCGCCGGGGAAATGAAAATCAAAACCTTCGGCATATCATTTCCGAGGATACGTGCTTCTACACGTCCTTGGCGCGCCAACGAACGTGATGGATAACAATGTGCAGGTCGAATCGTCCTTCGAAATGGCGCGTGCACGCACGAAATGCAAATAATCGCATTCGAAATGAAATGACGATCACGCGTCTTCTCTTCCTCTTTCTTTCTCTCTTGTTTTCGAGCGAATGCATTCCGCTCCTTTCGTTACTCCTCGTCTCTAACTGCGCTAATAGCGAATCGAACGGCGTATATATTTGTATCTAAAAATATGCTCCCGCCCATAGCTGTCCCGATTGCATTGACGGGATGCATCGCCGCTGCATCTCGAAGAGGGGTTCGCTCGAGGGGCCCCCTCCCGTTAACCTTTCGTTGCTCGCGCGGATCAAAGGAACGCGGGGGTTAACACGCCGCACTCGGAGCACCGCGCAATGAGAAACGAAACTTCATATTTCGGAAAAAACTGCAGTCTTGAACTTTCTACTGATTTCAATACCTTTTTTTTATGAAAGCTCAGACACAGATATTTATATTGAAATTAAATATTGAAACCCTGAAAAATAGTATCATGTCATAAGTTTTCTTATTAATTGTTGTTCTTGAAGTATGCTTCTGTTTCTTTTAAGTAAAAGATGATAAAATTTGAAGTAACTTCTTAACAAAATTGCTCCAAACTTCATTAGCTGTCGCTTGAAGGTAAAAACATCGAAATCAGTACGAACCTCGAAGCTTTTAGCCTTTTCTGAAGGCGTGGAATTTCAGTTGACTCCACCGTGCGCCGCAATCTTGAGCTTAACTTCGTAACAAAACCCGAGCGGCTATCGCACAATGAAAATTCATACGTTTGCGCGTGACTCTACTTACATAATTCGCTCGATATCAAATTTAAATTGCGTCCTTCTCCGCACGAACTTCGCGAGTTCGTGCCATTTCGCGAGTCTTCTTGTTGGCGCGGAGTATTATCGCGAGTGCAATCCGCGTTTTTACGGGCGCGAGTCGGATCGAAATCAGTGGCCTTCTTTGAGACATGTTGATCTAGATTACCCTTCTAACTTTCCACTTCGCGATCGTCTCGCGTACTTCATTTAGCGCAATATATTACGTAACGCTCGATGGAAAACCTCAGTGGACGTGTGCACACACACACACACACACACACACACACACACATGCGAAGCGACACGCCGAAAAGTGTGCTACCCGGAAGATGCTTCGTGAGACGAATCCCCTGCAATGAGCACGTGCTAGACGCGCGGCAAACGCGTGCTTTCGTGGGAACGTACCTTCGCACTGGCCGCGCATAACGAGAGCCGGAACCGCGTGTGGTCCGAAACGGAAGAAGACGTGGAAGAAGAAGAGGAGGAAGAGCCGGAAGCTCTTGTTGCCGGAGCACAATGATGTGGGAGCACTCTTCACTGGCGGGACGCACTATTCGCGAAAAAAATGATCACTCACGGAGAGATCTTGGGATCTACCGACCTACCGACCGATTTGCGATCGGCCCGTACGCGAGAGTATACGCGAGATATTCACGAGATTTGCGGACGATGACGAAACCGATTCGTTCCGTTGCGGTGCTACGAGCAACGTGTGCGACCGATTTGGTGCTCGGTGCTGTGCGTTTCGTACTGGCTCCGCGAGTAGCCTCCGCTGTCGCGAAGTCGAGTCAAGTCTCTCTCTCTCTCTCTTTCTCTTTCTCTCTCTCTCTCTCTCTCCCCATCTTGCGGCCTCCGAATCGGCAGGGCCGTATTTTGCATAAGCCGATGATAATACCCGTTGACGATTTCGGGAATTCCCGCTAGAACTTGTTCCGGGACCGTTGGAGGAAACCGAGACAACTGTTCCGTCGATTACGCTCAATACCGTACCGTTATTCGGACGTGTCGTTACTTATAGCTTACCTTTGTTTGAAATTGCTCGTTGTTAAATGCAAAGCGCTAAGTGCACGTCACTATCGCACTGTTGGACACGGCTCTAAGTCGCGGATGCGCGACACTCTCGACTCAAAAAACTACGCGAACCGCAGTGCATTGTTTTGTGCACGAGCCGTGCGAAATGTGATTTTAAAGATTTTGCTCCGGCAGCTCCCTGAGAATTACAAAGAGTCTAACGTGATCCCAAAGAAACACTTGTAAGCGATTTTCTTGCACTGTAAACTGTACCTTTAATTTTCTTCTTTATTGTATTATTTATTGAAAAGGGAGGGATACTCTTTGTGTTTTACTTATCGTACTTGGGGTTACAATGTGCTGCAAGCCGGCACTGCACAAAATCCCACTCACCGTCAGTCATTACCCTCTCTCTCATTCTCTCTCTCAGTCTCTCTTTATTTCATCCTCTCCCGCCCCTCCTTCTCCTCCCTGCAGATAGATATGAGTTGAGTATACCCTGTCACTCCGCAGGAAAGCGTGCCAACTGCACTCAAGTTCGGGATCAGACAAAGAGTGGCGAGAGGAGGCGGAAGGATGTTCTTGGAAAGAGAGTGCTGATAAAATATTCAGCCCTTTGGACCACGATAAGTTGACGGTGAAAGCAAGAAGTAGGAGACGTCAAACGCGACTTGCGATTTTTTCTATTCATCCGAACACGATCCGAAGTGGATCCGGTTAACGTTGAAAGAGAGAGAGAACCGAAAGAACGCAACGCTTATCATCGCGATCATTAAGCATAAGCAGGTAGTAAGCTCATTTTCATTTGGGGGGAACGAAGGTCAACCGCCTGGGGGATAGTAGCTTTAGTGAACCCGTAAAATCGTGCCCTAACCACATTCCTACGGATGTTTCAAAAATACCATTCACTAACAACAACAACCGACTGACATTCGCTTAGCTCTCCCCTCCAACCTTCACACACTCCCACACACGCATATAGCGTGAAAACTTAACGAAGAAATTGCACAATTGGCCATAGTTATGCAAGAATGAACCAACCCACAAAATTATGAACTTCGAGTTTTTACCAATGGCTAATCTATATATCTTTAAAACGAAAAGATCCAAGCTTTATGATCGTTTAAAACTAATTAAAAGACACAGTTTTTATTTTCTACTTAGTTAAGCCATTTTTTACTAGTATCTTTTTTATCTTTTCTCTCTGTGTACTTTTCAAATCATGTATCAAATTTCCATCTTCATTTTTCGCGAAACATATTTCGTATGAGTTGGGTTTTTCTTGCACAACTACGGCCGAATTGACACTCTTAAGAAATTCTTCCTTCTCTTAAGAAACTATTCTGAACTTCGGACTGAATGGAAGAGCAAGAAATTTCTGGCTTCGGCTTTTCGACACACAACACGTTGGCATAATTTCTCCATCGGATTTTCAGTACAATAGAATGCTGATAATAGCGAATTAATTCGTCCCAAAGAAAAATAAGTGATTGATTAGATCTATGCGGAGAAGGTGAACGCTCCGAAAGGAAAAACGAGGCTGATTAAAAGCGCCCGGGGGGAATTTTTAATGAATAAATCACGAAGCTTGCTTGTCTGGCTACCAATTAACAAGAAAACCTTGTACGTACCGTGACGAATAATAACCTTCGACTCCTTGCCGCCGAGGTGTCCGCGGACAGTCGTCTGCGAGGCAGGGAAGAGTGATACGTGGGTAAGAGTGCGAGAGCAAACTCTCCTCGTCGCGCAGAGTTCAATTAGACGCCGCGAAATAAAGTCCACGCTCCGATATTACGGTTTCGATCGCGGGTCGTCAGTTCAGATTGCAAGACACATACGTAACACAAGTACCCTTAGTGGTTTTCCGTCCGCGATTAAATCGTGTATTATCTCACTCGCGAAAGCTCACAACGATTAAATCGTGTATTATCTCACTCGTGTGTTATCGCACAGCGGCAGAATCGAACGCGCGACGAAATACCGATTCGGGGAGAACGAAGAACCTGCGATCTCTCCTTCGAAAGTCGCGCGAAAGAGAGAAAGAGAGAGAGAGAAAGAAAGAAATCGGACTCTGAGAAGTGCCTCTTCTCTGCGATGCAAAAAGAGAAAAAAAAAATGCAAAATTATGTCCTCGGAGATCTACCTCGGAGATCGCGTGTATATATGACTCCGTTTAAGATTTCCCTCGCACGCGCGCGGTTTCGCGGAGAGCAATTGTAGCTTTCGCGTTTCAGTTCACGCGACTACGTCGCGTCGTGTCGGCGAGATCGTGCAAAAATGCGTGACGTGTGAAATTCGACTCGGGGGCATGCGTGCACACGCGAGAACGAGTAAGAGCGAACGCGTACGTATGCATAAAAATACGTCTCGACGCATCGGCGTGCACTCACTGACTGACGCAGGACTTTTTATTTTGCTCACTCGGAGCTTTTTATTTTCATAATCGACGACGGTGCGCTAGTTAATTATCATATGACCGCGAACGTATCTGCTACGCGATTGCTACGTAGTTTCGTCAGAAGACGCGCGTGTCACTTCATCCGTAGCGTCGTTATTGGTACACATGTATACTTGTCTAATGACAAGAAGATAAATTAGTCCTGCCCGAGGCCTTTACCTTCTCGCGATCGCGCCGTAATCGTGTTACTATAATTAACGCGTTTAAGGGAGAGCGACGAGTGCACCGCCCCGAAGCCCGACGCGGCCGATAATTGTTGCGAATTAATCACGCATTTCTTTTGCTTCGACCTCTCGAGCGACGTCGATCGGAATAAACCCAGGATCCGCGACGAAACGCGTGTTATATTCTAGGGCCGTACAGGCAGTCGTCACTCGGAACTTCGATGCTGAAGCTGAAAACTTTACCGACAGAATATTGATATTTTTCTGCAAAATTTACGTCGTATTGGTTGTACAAAATTACAAATACTTTCACGCAATGGAAGTATGAGAAAATGAAGAAGTTGCATTCGCCAAGAATCTCAATAAAAATATACATTAGAAATGACTGCACGTCCTTCTCTCTCACTCTGTCTAATTACTTAACGCATAACTTTGACGTTCGTGATATTTTAGTGTAGGTGCAAATAATTCTACGTAAAGCGTTCATTAGCGCCTCGTATGATGAATTTCGCGACGAGACGTTCGTTGATTTTCTAAACCGACCATTCATCGCCATTCCCGTTTGGATTTCACCGAAATGACGTCAAGTTCTGATGACTCAAAATGTTTGCCGATGGCGGAACTCAAAATTACGCACGGGAAATATTCTCCAGAGACTTGCGCGCGAAACGTTTTCTCTCTTTTTTTACGATTTTTCTCTTTTTTTTCGAGAATAGCCGTTTGCGTCGGAAATTTTTCCCCTGTGTAAAGCGATTAAACGATCCGACAAACGGATCAATGAGAGAACGGAGAATTACCAGTCTCCAATCGAGTACGTTGACACAAGATGCAGTTCCACGAGTTTACATATATACGCACACGCATTGGTGCGCGTGCCGGCACATGCATAAAACTCACAGAGTGCGATTAAAGACGATCAATTGCGCGAGTTTATCGCAGACCGAAAGATATCGACGGCTATATCCGACCTGAGACATCACCGAGTCAGGTTTATTTAATGTTTTGGACGTTTGTTTACAGAATGTTACGGAACAATACGGCATAATCTCACGCCGATGATATAATTTAATTTGCGTCCTTATTAGTTCTGTACTAATTATTTTTCACTGAAATCGGCTACTTTACGTCATACTCCATAAGAATTAATTTTTGTTAATAATAATAATAATAATAATAATAATAATAGTCATAAAGCGAGCACGCTAAAAATTATTCCTCATAAATCCTAATTCCTACTCTGAGAGAAAAAGTATCCAAAAAATGGAAGATATTTTTTGGCACTAATAATATATATAACTTAAATTTAAGTTCTTTTACTGAAAAAAAATTCAGAGATGGTAATAAGAATAATAAGAATAATAAGAATAATAAGAATTATATAGGTGGCAACTATATACTATTAGATGTACAACTTTGCTTCCGCCGTTTTTTTTCCGAAATTCGAGGCTTTATTGTAAAAAATTGATTATACATTTATGATTCAAAGTATTGTCCATCGCTGGCCACTACTTTCTCCCATCTTTCGGGCAGCGTACGAATCCCGCGTCGAAAAAATTGGTCATCTTTTGAGCCTGTATGAAGTTAGCCCCCCACTATTCGAATTTATTAATTTTGACAGTTGTGCTGATTTGTGCTAGGATTGTGCTACATTGTGCTCGAATTATAAATTTTTAATACGAAAAATGAGCGAGAAAAATGGAAAAAACCGTTTTTTTGGTAGCCCCCAACTTTTTGATTTTCGAAATTTTTTTTATTGTGTAGGTTGTGCTAAGTTGTGCTAACATTGTGCTAAAGTATTATCTTCGAAAAATAATCATAAAAGGAATAAA